TAAAGTGGAAATCTTTGCTGTTTTGGTCAATATAATTCAAGAATTTTAGTTTTGTCAAAAACGAGATGAAGTATTGTCAGATTCTATGAATTATTTGAAGCAATATCCTCATCTTTGTTGTTTTGATTATTTTAAACAAGAGTCAGCCAGATTTATTTAGTGAACAATTCTACCTACAAAATAAACCCAGCTTTTATGTTTGATATGCTAAGCAAATTTGAAGTAAAAGACAACAGAGCAAGCCAATGCATCGAACATATAATTGATGATTTTGAAGTCAATTATTCTTGGACATGAAAAGTGATTGATTATTCTTCTATATTAAATTCTTAGAAATGTTGAACTTGTATCCAGAATTTTACATTGATACTTGTTGTGCTCTCTCTATATTAATGACAGAAATCAATTTCCAGTCGTTATTTTTTAGCCTGACTTCACTTCTTTGTCATGTACGGCTTATACATGAAGAATACTAATTGCTAAAGTAATTAAGTATTTGATTTAATTAATTTAAAGAATTAATTAATTACAGATTTAATTAATGGTGGCTTATTAATGCATTTAGAAACTGCATACTGATTTGAAGATTATATGGAAACTTATTTTATAGGACTTTTTGACTAACATCTTTGTACATTAGTAGTATTAGTAGTAATACTATTAATATAACTAGTGTATATAAATCATGTGATATATCAGATTGTTGGGGAAGATCCAAAATGGCTATATATTTAGATTTGTCTAACTGCAGTAAACCAGACTTGATGGCTTAATTGGTAAGGCAGCTGTTACAATAATAATAATAATAATAATAATAATAATAATAACGCTCATGTGGGATATGTATATCTTTACTGACAAGAACTTGGAGAGCAATTGCCTTGATATCACATTTGTGCACAAGAGCAACCATGAATGGATCCTGATGAAAGTTGTGATACTTTGGAATAGACATTGCGAAGACAGAATACAAGAGGTGGCAGGATAAATCAGAAAAATAGACCAAGCAGCAGTTCAAGTTACCCCTTTTGTGGTTGAAGTTCTTGCCACTATTTCAAAGAATCTTTCTGCTTTGTGAGATGCTTCACATATACTGGGAGTGGGTGGGTTCATGTCGCACTTTACCATACATCATAAAAATTTAGGGATATGGAATTAGTAAATACTAAACACCTCAAATACCTTGGTGTATGGATCATTTATAACAAATTTAGTAAAGGAGATAAGAAAATTGCACATAGATTAGGTTGTGCTGGAGGTAGTGTCACCCAACACCATCAATTGCTAAAGAACCAAAACATTAACTTAAAAACTCATGTCATTTTCTTAAATAGCCTCATCAGATCACGACTTTCATATATCATGGCTGGTGCCAGATTTTTTCAGAAATATCTAAACTGCCAGCTGTATACAACCGCTTCATCAGATCAACTGTTAAAAATGACTTTGAGCAAATGAAACTCTTGTATGTTGTAAGAGTTCTCGGATTGCAAAGGAAATATTTGTTGCAGATTACTTCCACAATGAAGAGAACAAATCGCAAGTTCAGACTCGAATATCAGGGGCAGAAAGAAATGTCGAAATCTTGATTTGCAGGTACGATGCCACAAATCACAATGCATGTAACCAGTCAGAAAAATGACTCACTCACCAATGAATGCAGTAGACAAATACAAGAATTTTGTCTATTTTTATTCATCACCGATTCGAGAACACCAACTACTTTTATTGACCTAGCACTTTTTTTCATTCACTATCCAAAATACTTTTATGCCAACTCCTGTGACTGACTTGTTTCTAATTTGAATATTCCATCTTCACCAATTATGCAGAATACGTTCCCTCTTTTTTGGCAAGTAACTTTCTTTTTTGCCACATTTTCCATTGTAGGATACATGTGACATTCTGCCACTTGGTTTGACGAGGTAATGTGCTGTTTTCTTTACTACATATGTTTTAATGAGTACCATCTTTCTTTGAACATTGTAGGCTGCTGGTTCATTATCACAGACAAAGAACTGTACCAAATATGAGAAACCGTATCACTTGAGGACTTCCAACAGTGGCAATACCTAAAATGGATAGCACATGTAACTCAAAGAGAAAATAATCATATAATCAAAATACTGATATTCCACACTACTTCAAACAAAAGGTTAGGAAGGAAGCATCAATCATTACTGGAAGGAATGATAACAGTGGATTTGAGAAATCTATTTTCCTGAAAAAATTTGTTCAAATAGAAAATTTTTAAAACTTTCAAATGAAAGCAACAATAGCTCTTTGATCAATGAATGCTGAATATTTCCTTATAAGGAAATGGCTAAAATTACCATTTCTCCTCTCTCTATCATCCATTCATACAAATTTGTTAGGGAGGTTCTGATTATTTTCCTCTCCCTCTCTTGCCTTCAATATGCCCTGTGAATGTTAAATTCTTCAAGCCCTCTTCTCTCATTATGCGTTCCAGAAATTTTGTGTCCCTTTTGTTTATATTTTTCTTGAACTTCCTTCTTGCTCACATGTCCTGTCTATGAAATCCTCCACATCTTTTTGCTTCAGATCACTTCTTCATCCGTAAGGAGATTCTCCAAAAATCATTCCCATAAAAGATTAGATATTACACAGCAGTTCAGAATTCTTTTTTTTTCTAATGATATTTTCCTATATCTTAGTATCTTACTTATGTTCTGGAAGATATCTTTTAATATTTCTATGTGTTTCTAGATTTATGTGTCACTTTATCTGTCATCTTAATTTCTTCACTTGTCACTTTTTGAAATCCCCCAGTATGCAGCTCATGGCTTGAGCTATCTCATTTATCATCCCTGGGTATGATGATAAACTACATCCAGCAGCAAGGCCTCTCGTGGGGAGATTGGAGGTTTTGAGGAGTGTAGAACCATATCTTAATTGCTGTTGTTTCAAGGTCCACTCTGACCCTGGTTTATAGCAGCTGCTAGGAGCTCAGACATGAGTAAATAGTGAACCCCCAAACAAAAATCAACAATACATTTTTATAATAAAATGATCAACAATACATTTTATCATCTATAAACTATATATCTAAAAAAATATACCTTTACTCAGTATAAAGTTTATCAACAAAATATCTGTAATTGAAAGCATAAAATTACATACACAATATGTAGGTTTTGGCATTAAATAACCCATAGAGTTTGATATATTGTGCAAAAGAATGAACCGACTAATAACCAAAATGAAAGAACACTTTCATGAGATTTGTCCATATAATATTCTATAATTTCTTAAATCAAACAGTATTCCAAAATATAACTTCAACAAAACTACAACATAAATCAAACACATATCACAACTAGTAATCATGCCTACACAAACATGTATATGCAAAAAAGCTGAGTATCATTTACCATGTATACAGTTGTGAAATCAGAATAATGTATATCATATTTTTATTACTTCAAAGGTCCCAAGCAAATTAAATTTTGGCATTAAATGACCAATAAAGGTGTTGATATGCTGCCAAACAAATCAATCAATCAATCTGTTTCTTTTGCTAACTGCCATACATTTTAGTAATTCTAATAAATATTCCTTTCTTTTTGATTTATCTTTGTCTCATTTCAATTTTCAGTCTGAGTTTAATGATGACACAGCGCCATCCACATGTCTTATTTTGTTTAGAATACATCTGTTAATAATAAATCTTGGTAGAACTCCTAGTTCACTTCAGATTATCTTATTATATAGGCTGAATAAATCTGGTGAGAATGGGCCTTATTACTCCATATTAATACATTGAATATCCTTGTTGAAGATTAACACAGCTCTTTATTCTTGCAGGTATACAATTTCATAAGTCAGGTTATTACATCTATGGAGGCAATGAAACAAAAGAAATATTAATTTGACCACATCAAAGCACCGCTAACATATTATATCCAACATATCCTCAACAATTCCACAAAATGTCCATCCAATCTGCTAATCTGAATATTGTTAGAGATTTAAAAAAATCTATTTGCTTTATAAAATGAATGACTTCTATATTTGATACACAGAAGAAAAAATGAAATATTGTTAAAAAAATCTTTAAAAGATAGTCCTCCTCTTTAACTTTGATGGAACTATTGACTAATCATATGTCGATGAACACTCTCTTGTTGGGTTACTCAGTCAGCAATGAGATATCATTAAGCTGTTATTATTCATTATAAATAAGATCTGTGCAGGGTTTTTGGTAAAACATTTTATTACTTCCACCTTATCTATGATCTAAATCTAGTGAGTTCTGATTATCATTGAAAGGCATGAGATTTCCAAGATTAACGTGTGTATACTGAGGTAGTTGATGACAATCCAGAAACAGGAATTTTTGTATTGTCTGGAGAAGTGGAAGAGATGCTCGGATAAGTGCACAAGGTCCAAAGGGGCATACTTTGAAAGGGACCAAAACTCTTTATCTGCGAATTGCCATGCCTTTTTTGGTAAAGAAATTTCCTGATGTCTTCTCCAATATTTGACATACAGACATTTCTTCTTCACAAAGTGGTTTTCCTCCTAAGTTAACGTGTTCAGTCAACACTGATATTAGTGAGGGAGAAATGGATTCATATCTTTTCCAAGGCTATTAGTGCAAAAATAAATGCAACAGAAAAGACAGAATTTAAACTTTGTTCCTTGATTCCTTCTTTTTTTTTTTCCTAATAACTATTATACTGCCTATAAATTCCAGAAAATATTACATTTTCTGTTTACACAAATATTTTATAAAAATTCTGCTTTACCAACTATTAATGGTGACAATGTTGGTTGCATATGTTTATCTAATTACTCTACCCCATTGAAAATCCTTTCCTTTCCCTAGTCAAACCAACCCTTTTCCAGGGCCACACAATCTTGCCTCTGTCCCTAGCGACAATCTCACTATCAGTAAAGCTAAATAGTGAAAAAGAAAAAAATGAATAAACAGCTGTACAATGTCATCATTTCACCACTGCAAACTCAGGTTGGGTAAAATGCCTCCCCACTTATATCCGTGTCCCCCACTGGATTCAAAAAAAGTAAACAAAATGGAAAATTACCAAGTACTATCCTCTTTGTAAACACAGTGACATTCTGAAAACACCTGCTCGTCACTACGTTAGAGAGAAGACATGTTTATATGTGTGAATATCTGACACCCTCAGAAAATATCCAGTGAACAATGACTTTTTTCTAATCAGGATATTTTTTTTTTCTCAAATTCAGTTGCTGGAGGTTTTAGAGTTGGGTTTTTTTTTGGGTTTTTTTTGTTCTCCTGCATTTTTCTCTTTTGTTCTCTCTTTGCAGCATCTTTAACCTTTATCGGAACCTTTCATTGATTGAACGATTATTTATTTCCAAACCTAACATTTTTGTGGTTAATGGTACGTGTTTATTAAATTATGTCAATAGTAAATTTTAATGAAATACAAACGAAATAGCACCTTGGCTTATGATTTGAGTATCTGTTCTCGCTACAAATATTTGATTTTAGGCAATGTGCTTCTCAAATATCAATGATATCATTATGCTTGTATTCCATCAAGAGTTTTACTTGCTCTTCATTCAGAGCAAAACCTTTAGCTGCCAAAAAACATTTATTGTTATTATTGTAGTTATTAGAGTTAGCAATATAGGTTTATATATATATATATATATATATATATATATATATATATATATATATATCAGACAGGCTGTTTTGCTGTATCACAGCTCTTCAGTGTGGCTAGACATGTGACTGCTTCAAGCAAGGATCAAAACTTGACTGATTTGACATCAGTTGGAGACTCTTACCCCTAGGCTATTGGCACATGCTATAGAGTAAAGGAATTTTTAATGTATTATATATGTGATATAAACATTATCAGTTGCCAGAGTGCTCTATTCATTGCATTGGAGCAGCAGAAGCTGTCAAATACCCTTTTCTTCTAATGTGCTCGATAGATGAACAGGAGTATAGAGAGTATGGACACAGGAATCAACATTGCATGGTGATTGTTTATTTCACATCTGAATGCAATCTTCCAAGATGTAGATTTTTCAAAATTGTATCCCACAACCAACTAATATAAAGGAAGCTAAATTTTGTATCATTTGAAAGATGAACCAATTTACTTTCAAATAAACCAACTTGCATTACTTGATTTTCAACAGTTTTTCAAATAAATCAATTTAATTGCACTAACATTGCATATTCAGATCTTTTCTACAATTCAGTCACGACTGCAAGCTTTTAACAACTGTGTTGTGAGATATGCGAAATGGACATATCCTACTTTGCATAAAGTCAAACGACTACAAAAATGTCAGTCGTCATTTGGCACAAGGGAAAATACATCTATGTCACAGACTTAAAGAAAACACAACAAACTAAAATCACTTAAGGGCTGATAAGGTTAATATCAGATCTCGCAAGCTATTCAGCATTCATTCTATCTTGACCAAGTATCTCAAAATTGGTTATTATTGATTTATGCCATCAAAAATTTATATAAATAAGATCTCTCTTGACGGAACAATGTCTGGTGCAAGATCTCACAAGCAAATAAGAATAGGCTTTTTACTATTGCTAAAAAAACATTAGGTCTTATATGAAATAAAATCAAAATGTCTGATATAGATGAAAAATTCTTGATGAAAATAAAAAATTTTTTGTTTATTTCTTACCAATTAATTTTAAGGAATTGAATTCATGGTCTTAATGCCATAAGCTTGCCAAGAAATACATCCTGACCAATTCTTTCTTCAAAGACTTTGATCTCGGTGATCAAAGAAAGTCAAAAATATAACATTTTCAAAAACTAAATGAACAAATTTTAATAATTAACAATTAATAATTAACAGTTATCAATTATTTGTGTCTTAAAAACAACTTAGATGAGTCGGCTAATCTAACTTTTTTTTCATTCATTATATTTAATCCTTTTTCTAGCAGACGTTCTTCTCGCTTTTTCATTATTTTCTCTTTCTCTTCTTTTGCAGATACTCTTTTTCTTTTCATTATATTTAATCCTTCTTTTTCTAGCATACGTTCTTCTCTCTCTCTTTTTTCATTACACTCTTTCTCTTTTCCTCATTCTTTCTTTCAGATTTCCTTCTCTCTTTTTTTCCTTTCTCTCTTTTCCATATTCCTTCTCTTCTTCTCTCATTTTCACATATTCCTCTCTCTCTTTTCCTCATTCTTACACTCTTTTCCTCATTTACACTCTTTTTTCCTTCTCTCTCTTTTCCTCATTCTTACTCTCTTTCACATATTCCTTCTCTCTCTTTTCCTCATTCTTACACTCTTTCACATATTCCTTCTCTCTCTTTTCCTCATTCTTACTCTCTTTCACATATTCCTTCTCTCTCTTTTCCTCATTCTTTTCTTTTACTCTTTTCCTTTTCTTCCTTCTCTCTCTTTTCCTCATTCTTACTCTCTTTTCACATTCTCCCCTCTCTTTCCATATTCCTTCTCTCTTTTCCTCATTCTTACACTCTTTCACATATTCCTTCTCTCTTTTCCTCATTCTTTCATTTTCTCTTTCATATTCCTTTCTCTCTTTTTCCTCATTCTTACTCTCTTTCACATATTCCATTCTTCTCTCATATTCCTTCTCTCTTTTCCTCATTCTTACTCTTCTTTCATATTCCTTCTCTCTTTTCCTCATTCTTACACATATTCCTTCTCTCTCTTTTCCTCATTCTTGTCTCTTTTTCCTCATTCTTTTCCTCATTCTTCTTTCCCATATTCCTTCTCTCTCTTTTCCTCATTCTTACACTCTTTCACATATTCCTTCTCTCTCTTTTCCTCATTCTTTCCTTTCATATTCCTTCTCTCTCTTTTCTTACATTCTTTTTCACATATTCCTTCTCTCTCTTTTCCTCATTCTTTCACATATTCCTTCTCTCTCTCTCTCTTTTCCTCATTCTTCCTCACTCTTTCACATATTCCTTCTCTCTTTTTATCTTTCCATATTCCTCTCTCTTTCCTCATCTTTTTATTCCTTCTCTCTCTTTTCCTCATTTTACACTTTCACATATTTCTCTCTTTTCCTCATTCTTACCTCTTTACATATTCCTTTTCTCTTTTTCCTCATTCTTATCTCTCTTCTCATTTTTATTCTATTCCTTCTCTCATTCTTTTTCAATTCTTTTCTTTCTCCTTTCTTTCTCCTCTCTTCAGAGTGTATTCGTTTCTTTCTTCTATTCACAGCTTCTCTAATTCATCTCTCTTACTTTCACTTCATTCTTTCTTATTTTTTTTCAAATTCCTTCTTTCTCTTTTTCCTTATTCTCTCTTTCACATATTGCTTCTCCTCTCTCTTTAATTCTCTTTTCCCTTCATTTTTCTGCATTTTTCTTTTCCATTTGCATTCTTTTTAATATTCCTCTTTTTTTTTCTTTCTCTTGAATTCCTTCTCTCTTTTGATTCTTTCTTTCATATTCTTTTCTTTTTCAATCCTCTTCTTTCCTCTCTCTTTCTCTTCTCTTCACATTCTCCACCTTTTTGTTTTCCATTCACACACTTTCTCTCTTCCTTTCTCTCTTGTACCTTTGGGTTTTTCTCATTCTTTTTCATTTCTCTTCTTTCTTCTTTCTTTCTCTTCACATTTTTCCACTGTTTGTCTTCCATTCCTCTCTCTCTCTCTCTCTCTCTCTCTCCCCAATTTTTGGATTATCTCATTCTTTTTCATTTCTCTTTTCTTCACATTTTATCACCTTTTTCCTTCTATTCCTGCATTTACTCATTCTTTTTTTCTCTCCCTTTCTCTCTATATACCACACACTTTCTCTCACACTCTCACCTATATTATTTTCCCTATTTCTCTTCTTCCTTCTTTCTGTAACCCTCTTCTGTCCCTCGCTATTTGTCTGGGTTCAGTAATTGGCTCGGTTTGTTAGCTTCCTTTTTTTTCTTAGTCAATACAAACACTCAGTCACTTTTATCTTGTTTTCACTACAATTTTCTAAACTATTCATTTCGAATAAGCTAATTGGATTTGACAATAATTGTTATGAACATAGCACCAAAAAACTTCAACTCTGAAAATCTTTACATTGTTTCTCATCACGCTTATTTTGATGACACTTTTAATGCAATTAACCCTTTTCAACCAAGCCTCACCTTTTTATTAGAACCAAAGTAAAAAAAAAACATTAAAATTCAGAAAATAATCTCATTTCATCATGCCAATCCTTCTTTTACATTTTCTCAACAACATTTGATGCATTTGCCAAAATAGAGTGCAGTTGCTGTTCAAGTTGAGATGAAAGAATTCATCGGATGTTTCAGAAAAATAAATACTAATCAAGTCTTCTTGATTGGTTGCATTTCTTTTTTTATTCAATTTTTGACATGTCAAATTGTTTACTCCCTACTACTTGTAGTAGCAGATATAATATTATTCTTCAGAACATGGGTGATCATGGCTCTCCACAAACTCTTATACTAAGCCATTAGTAATTTTACCATCCCTTCTACTCCTCATCCTACCATACATCCATATAGCTCATCAGGTAAGGGGCCTACTGCATCTCTCTGTTTCTTTTATTTTCAATATGTCTTGAGATTGTTAAATTTTCCAAGCATTCCTTCATCATTATGCATTAAAGAAATTTCAGTTATTTAAGATAAGCATTCTTTTTGTTTCCTTAAACTTTCTCATTGCTTAGATATGCCATACATAGAATTCTCAGTATCCTTCTGTTGCCTCAAGTTTTCTCTTTATAAGGAAACGGCTAATATTACCATTTCCATTACCGTTTGTCCTTTCTCTAACAATCATTCATACGAATTTGTTAGGTAGATTTTCATTGTTTCCATCTGCTTCAATATGTCCCATGGGTGTTAAATTCATCAAACCCTCTTTTCTCATGTGTTCCAGAACTTTGAACTTTCTAAATACAAGTGTTCTTTTCATTTCTATTTACCTTGAAACTTCCTTGTTACTCAAAATGAATAGCTAATGTTATTTTATAAGGAATTAGCTAATATTACTGCTATGATGTTGATTTGGGGTTAGTAGAGACAAACGCCAAATAACACGTAACAATAAAAAGGGTTTTCATAGGTTGGTAAAAAGGTACAGAAATCACCTGAGTAGTCAATAACTAGCTCAGCTAAGAACTTCTCTGTCTATCTGTCTTTTGACATGCCACTATTTAAAGTCTTTGTTCGCAGACAAGTTCATCTTCAAGAGGGGTGGTAGGATTCCGACACAACAATTACCATTACCATTTTGATGAGATTCTAGGAATATTAGGTGTGCATTCAAATCTAATTAGAAGATTATTTACAATCTATGCTGTTAAATAGTCAAACAGCATGACATTTGTAATAAAAATAAAACCTAGTCATAATTAGTAATGAAAATATTTCTTCTAAGAATTTTTGACAATTTAAGAATAATATTTATATTACTTCTTTATTCCATTAGTAAGGATGAAGTTCTGCTTCTTAAACTGTTATGTTGTAGAACAGTGTCCTGAAAGGATGTTTCCACCATCACTAGAATCTTAACCTCTTCAATCTAGGGGCAAGTTCCCTATATATTCTCATATTTTGTTTTAATTGATTTCCCCCTAAGCAAGGCAGTAAAGCCACTAAGACACAAGGGCTTACTGAGTGTAGAAGAATTAGGAACAGAAATATTACTAATGAGTGGAAAGAAAAAAGAGTAATCAAGAGAAAAGTACATAATGATTGACATTGCAATTAAGGCAAGTAGGTGAATAGAAATAAATACACTGTTTAATATATAAACAGAGTGTCTATTCAAATATGAGTATCCACTAATAATAACATTTAAGTTTATATATATATATATATATATATATATATGCTAAAAATATAGCTTGAAGATATGATATATTTATGGATTATATGCTCAATATCAGAAATGGGGCATATGTAAATATAAAAGTGGACATTGCATCCAGTAGTGGCAGTCTGTTTTATGTTTAAATGCAATCTTCAAGCCATTATATATATATATACTGTGTATATTTAGGCAGTAATTTTTCATTAATGCATGTTTCATTAAATAATATAGACAAGTTTTGTCTATTTATTTTTAGTAAGTACCTTTCATATTGTCTGATAAGCTTAATAACACTATCATTGAAAGACAAAAGGAAATCAACATACTGATACATGTTTAAAACCAATCTAAGCTTTTGGCTTACATAAGCCATTATCAAAGATGACAATTACTTTTCAATACATCAACCAATACACGGAAGAAACAATAATTTTTGTTCCATGATAAATTTCAAAGCAACGACTTACTCGTGTATACAAGATGCGAAAGCAAAAATTGCATCACAGCTTGTGACGTCACACATGACCATGTAAGAGTGAAAATGAGAGATATCAAGTATAGGAAGCTGTTGGTATAAACCAATGGCTTTTGTTAGAAATTATAGGCATTTAAGGATATTTGTGGAGATTTTGTAGTTTATTTTGTTCAGGTTAGGTTTCAACTGTTTTATGTATAAAGCTTCAAGAATTTTTAATTTTTGTTTATTGTTTTCATGTTTAAGTATAGTTGTGTTTTCAACAAGGATTTTACGAAATGTTGTATGCGGCCCGGCATGTTGTTTTAAGCTTATCAGACAATATGAAAGGAACTTACTTAAAATAAATAGACAAAACTTGTCTATATTATTTAATGAAACATGCATTAATGGTATATATATATATATATATATATATATAGGTATCACCCCATGTAAGGCAGTAAAGCCACTAAGACAGAAGGGGATGCAGGGTGTTGAAGAATTAGGAACAGTAATCTTAATAACGAGCAAGAAGAGGAAAAAGTAATCAGGAGGACAGTAGATAATGATTGATATTGCATTTAAATTTTTGTAGATTAAAGTTGGCCAGAAAGTATGGACTCAGCAGGAATTTCCACAAGGGAGAAGTGTGAGAAAAAAACTGGTAACATAGGACTTATGGCTTTATCTTGCCAGCTCAACTGTAAATTGAGGAGATGTCAATATCAGTCTAATACAGTGCTTAAATTCTATAAAGTCTTGGGACCATAGTGAAGAGCTTATCCAAAAAATTACCATGAAAGTATTTATAGAAAAGGCATAGAGAGACAACATTGCAATGGTGGGAAAGTGATTGAAGCTGAGCTGCCAGATCAGGACCAATAATATTGCTGATTCTTCTCTGGATCTTATCAAGAAGCTCAAGAGGCACCAGACCGTCTGTGGCAGTAATAATCTAGGCATGGTAGATTTATAGATTTGTAAGATAGATTCTGAAGAGGGAAAATGTCTAGCCCGAAACAGTGAACCAACTTTCTTAGCAGCTAATCTAGCAATGGATTCAATACAGTCTTTCCACTTTATGTCAGCTGAGAACATTAGCAAAGGAAGGCATAATGAGTCACTCTTCTGGAGGTTAGCATCAGCCATACTGATAGAAGGCAGTGAGGGATCACTCAAATGATTAATGGAGAGAAGAAAATATTATTATGCACTTCTTACTTTCTTTCTTTATACACTAACAACAATGTCATTCAGTAACCCTCTTCCTTGATTGGCTCTTGGGCCAATGAACAATAGAAAAAGAAACATATCTACTATAATTAGGTAGTAAACAAGATAGTAAGGAAAGATTAATAAAAGAAGAATATAGCTATATGACACTCCCAAGGATATAATTTGTAAATTCAAATCTCGAAGGAAAGCTGCTACTTTATTTCCATATCATGCTGCCTGACAAAAAAAGAATAAAAATCAAATTGGGATAAAAAAACAAAGATGAAAAAAATACTCAGAATTAAAAAGCATTTCAAGAAAAGAAAAATAACTTTTGCACCTTATTTGCTTGCCTATGGTTTACACAGGTATTCAGTGAACTCACTGCAATAATGACTCACTGTTAGAATAATGTCATCGTCAAGCCTCCCCACTTATATATTTTGTCTGAAGCTGATCTAATTGGCCGCCGGATGATTCTTGTATTTGATTGGATGATTTCTAAATAGCAGAAACTCAACCATGTTTTTTTTTACCTTAGGAGTAGTTGCTTCTAGTGGAATTCATTTATTCTGTTGTTCAACATCTTTAGACTTTCACAGAAATTGGTGTACGTGAAAAGACCAGTCTCTGGAAAACTCATGATACATCACTCACTCAAACTTCCAAGCAGGAGTTCTGATAAGCAGACCCTTAACATATAATATTTGCACTTTTTCTAGCAATTCTGTAACTGGTGCACCAACATATATTGCATATATATTTTTATTTCTTGAAACATTATTTTTAGTGGATATGGGATTTGGAGCAGATGCTCTATTCTTTTTTTTTATTTTAAACTATTTATTTTGTCTACTGATCTGCATACTCAGGAAAACTTATTAAAGAAA